ATCAACCTAGATTAGCCGCCTTGTTTTAGATTTGACCATGCCAGTACTGCATCTCGGCAGACTGTGTGACAGTACCGATGGCTGCCACATGGCGGCACTCAAACTCCATGCCCCTAAACCTGGATCCATTTGGGAATTCAAATCAGCTTAAAGTCACATACAGTTGGGCAGTGAAGTTAAACAGACAGCTGACTACAATAAAATAAGGCTACCTGCGTATAAAATGTCGTAGGTTTTTGATTGTAGCTGTCATGTCATAAACGTAACTGTTCACTGGCAGGTATATTATCATTTTAGCCTGACGCTAGTAAAAGGCTGATCAATACTGACAGTGGAGAGACAAACAGGGAGCACAGCCATCGGTCGCTCCGTGAAGCACAAGGTGGACCGGATGTGAGTCGCAAACACGTTGACGTGGTTGAGCTTCACCTTCTGAACTTCATGGAAATCCACAAGGAGAACCTCAAACGCGTAAACATGATCGCGATTCACATTTCGCGCCACCTGGTGAGCCACGGAGCGAACGATAGCTTAACTCTTTGAAAGTCTTCGGGCGGAGGTGCCACGTCCCACTGTCTTCGGACCAACCACGTGCTTCGTTAGTGTCAGACTTATAAATAGGGCGCTGTTGTCACATACAGTTATATACTGGTGTGTGCAAAAAGCGAGGGCAGAGGAGTTTTAATATAGAGGTTGAATAAACCACGTATACTGTATAACAGAGAACTTTCCGCCAGGCACTCTTACAAACCTTGCTATCTGCCTGACTCATTTCATTTCCGCATTGAATCATGGGTAACCTATCCAAATCAGCGAGAACCTTGCCTCCACTTATATTTCTGTGCCGAGACTACCTGGATGAGCTAATGTGAAAGCACAAACATGTGAGCAAAGTGTGTGTGTAATAGTTTGTAGGCCACATATATTTTATACACGTTGGACGGTGTAGTTTAATATGGCTCAGTGAGGAGCTGACGTGGAGCCACGCCCACTTCAGCCAGATATGTAGGCAGGTGTATCCACAAGAAATGTCATTTTTAAGCAGTTGTGTCATTATATCAAAAATATTTATTATTAATATTGTGTCAGGCGGATTAGGCGAGTGTGCTTTACTTAGTAAGGCCTTGTATCTATGAACTGGAACAGATGTTCTCAGCTTAGTTTAAGCTGGTGGAGGAAGGTAGGTGCATCCATGATTCTGGGCTGGCTGTGTGGATTTCACCTGTCTCGTGAAGGCGAGAATGTAGCTGTGTAAACTTCAAATATCTGAGCTGGTGTTGTGCCAAAAAAGTGATTTCCAATGTTTCCGTGTGCTTTTTATGTGTAATATCGTTACGTATGATACTAAATAGACTTATGTGAACAGGTATTACAAAGGGGTTATATATAAAATTAAAAGAATTACCTGTTTCTCAAGTATCTTTGTAACTGTGTTATTGTACTTACATTATAATC